AAGTACAATTTGATTATTTTATAAGTTATAAAATTTATAAAAAATTATAACTTTTAATTGGAACAAACTCCTAAATATTAATTAATAAATCTAATGGACTTAAAAAACATAGCACTAATTACAGATAAATCTACAATATAGTCTAGCAAGACCACAATAAAAAAATTTCTATTTTTTCTTTCTACACAATTAAAGCATTGAACCCCCTATTAATTTATAGAGTAATGATACTGAGACCCTCCTACGCCCATGTGAGTAGGACCCCAAAAGATCACCATTAAATTTTGACACAAGAAAATTTATCACATGGGTGTGGGACTTGGTTGAATGGGTTTATTGATAGCTTTTCTAGAGATCTGTATCAAAATTTAACGGTGATCTGTTGGGGTCCTACTCACATGGGTGTGGGAGAGTCTCATAGTGTCATTACTCTAGTTTATAATTCACATGCCCCTTTCAAATGTAATCGAACACTATATTCATTTTAAATAAATTCTACATTCATGTTGACTTCTTTGAAATAAATTTGACACAAGTTAAAGCAGGTAACACAACATCGTGGCAACATAAACATGACACATTGCACTACTACAAGATTAATTAAAAACAAACCTATAATATAAAGCACGATCATTATAAGTTTATAATTTTTAAGCAATCTAATGAACATGTCCCTTTAAATTCTATAATGAAACAATATGTCATTTTTAAATAAATTATACATTTATATTAATTTCTTAAAAATGAATTTCAAAAGTCAAATAGGTAGCACAACACAGTGGCACCACAAAACTGATGCTTTCCATTGCTCAAAGTAGTAGTTTACTTTAGATTAGTGCTTTTTTAAAATAAGAACACAAGTGCGAGTAACATTATATAGTGCCACCACAAAAATGACAGGGTGTATTGTTCTAAACAATAGTTTGCTTAATATTAATGTTAATATTAATTGAATTTTAACTTTAAATCTTAATAAATTATTTATTCCTTTATAAGTATAATATCAACTTATTAGCCAAATTATAAAGTTACTAAGTTACATTTGTTCTGACTCAATATATATTATATAGGTTGTTCTTACATGTTCTTATAGTAGAAAACTTTCACTATTACATTTTCCTAGTTATCTCTAGAGCCACTTATGGTTGACACCTAAACTCATCGCACAAATTGAGTTAGCAACACAATAAATCAGCATCATAAACATAAAACTCTTAAAATGTAGAATTAAGGTGCATTTGAGAAATCCATCGTAAAAGACTATTTTTCAAACACTCTAATTGATTATATCTCCCCATCGATATGTATGAATATGAAAAAGAAAAAAGATTTTGAGTTCCAAAAATAGTGCATCTTACAACATATTATCTGGACAATTCAGGTTCAATATTTTCATATGTTTATAAATCTACTTGATTTGAACCATTTTTTTAGTCTTAAATTTTATAATTAAGGATGAAAATAGATTCTTATGACATCCTATGAATTTTTTATACCAAATTTACATCTTATGATTGATGGTACACCTTAGTTTGACGGTTTATGGTTGCAAAATTTAATGATGCACCTAAGTTTGATGGTTTATGGTTGCAAGCTTATATAAACTACACCCTTAATAAAGGGAAACGTTTCTAAGCTTTCTCTACAGTATGGAAGTTCTATCCTCCCTTTACCATCCAACCGTCCAATTTTGATCAAGAGAGTCACTCACCGTTTGATCTTAAATCCGACGTCTCAAAGTATTTTATTTTTATATTTATTTTTATACATATTGTATGAATATGAAATTTAATATGTGCTATCATCCCATTCGGGCGTACCTATAAAAAATATTAAAAATAAATTTTCAATAAAATATAATGAGTATTTTGATCATTTTAATTTATTAAAAATATATTTTTTATATTTTTTGCTAGTACGAATTTAATAGAGAAATGGATGTCTAAATTTTGATGTCAAAATAATTTATAAAAAAAAATTTTAAAAAAAATAATGTAAAGACATGACATTGTAATTGAAACAATCTTAACCCTCCATTCAAAAAAGAAGGTTAGATAAAAAGGTGGATCGAACTTATATGTTGCAAGGAAAACATAGGAAACTTGTCCCTTAATAAATACCGACTAATTTAGTTCAAGAGAAATCAAATAACGTAAGCAACACGTGGATTCCGCTAGTACTCCAAACGTCAAGATACTTCCTCGCGATGGATCCTCCGATCTCACCAAATATACCACGTGACTTGGATGACGCCCCGCGGTGGTGGGTGTCACAAAACATACCTAAAACAGTCACTTATTAAAACAAATGGCCCTATAGAGGCAATAGCACGCTTCATGAAGCACAACTTGAACAAGAAGAAAAATAACCCTGCCGAAAGGTAATTTACAGAAAGAGAGAGGCATGGTACGTAAAATAAATAGTACTCCGACTTAATGTTAAAAAAAGAAAAGAAAAATAGCACTGACTGATTTAGCAAAACCCATGATAGTGGTCATTCTCCAAGTACTCCTAGTCTTGGCTCAATAAACTGTAATTTCACAACACCCCAAGTCTGATCAGACTCCTTACAACATGGGTTTAAATACTGACAGCATCAGACTCCTTACAACATGGGTTTAAATACTGACAGCATCAAACCCACGAGTCAACAATAAAAAGGCACTTCAACATAGTTTCCTCTTGTAGAGAAAGTCAGCAAATTATGCGAGAAAACCACAAATTTCTGTAATCTGAATATTCATGAATTTGATTTTACATCCTTCTTGAAACTCAACAGATAAGCACCTAACCCAACATAAGGTATAAATTTAAGGGCATTCACTAACCCAACATTGTTCTCCTCTACATTTTGGAGGTTGTCCCCTACCAACCAGGGCTGGAATATGATGTAGAGTACGATATCCCAAACGAAGGCATAAGCTATCCTGTCAGATAGTATATACTCTACAAAATACCCCCATCGATCTCCTACTGCTCCAAAACCCCCATCAGGACGGCCATAAAAGAGCCATAATATTGAGATGACACCCAATAAACCACCAATCAATCCCACAGTCGCTGCATTGTTTGTCAAAACTGAGACCAACTTCGAGGGCTTCTCATCGACTTCAGGGCCATAGCTTTCATTCGTGGCACCAAGGCGAATGGCCATGTAAGGTATTAATGCTGCTGAAGAAAAGAAACCAATGAAGCAGTTGAGGGTTAGGTAAATGGAAAGCATAGAGGAAGCCCAATAAAATGATGACAAGAGAATCTGAAAACGAGGAGTTTTTTCATTTGAGAAGCACATGGAGGTTTCAGGTTGCTTGTTAAGCATACTGTTTGTAAGGAACATTTGGATGATCCATAAGACTTCAAGGAATCCTTTAACTCTCCCTCTCTTGCGATCAGTGAAGAGCAATGGAGCAAACATAAGTGTCCATGCGATAACAAAATTGAACAATGCTTCACATGCCTGATGATGGACACAAAGTTTTATCATGAAGATGTCTGGCAATGGTGTCTTGTATATAGATGGACAAATAGAGAAATTCTTACAGGATGAAGCAAGGATGCCTCAATTAGATGAAAGCCCACTGCTCTGCCAAGAAACACCACATTCACAAGAGAATTATTTTAAACAGACAAAATTTCTACTATGGAAAGCCATAATGTGCAAGCGGTGCTCTTTGCAGATACATGGCATGAGCTAATCTTCTTTCAGACTTTCAAAAAAAGACAAGGACCTATTATCATGGACATTATTTTATTTTTTTTTTGTAACTAAACAGAGCATGTTCTACACAGACTTCAAGAGAGATTTTATCACATCTGCCAAACGTTGCAAGTTTGGCACAGTTTTTTTAGACTACTCTCAGTACTGATTGTGAGAAATCGGATTAAATTTATGCATGAATCCGATTAGTAACAGATATTAAGGTGGATATCCTCTAAATTTCTTTTGCCCGCTATTACATAATATTGATTTGCAATCAAAATTATTTCATTTATGCTGACAGTACTTTATATTTCGAAAATCCATAGATGTCTATATAGTTCTTGCAAAGCTTGGATTGAACTCTTAGATTTCTTTAAACTCGTAAAGCATTAACTCAAATTATAGTGTCTCTGTTGGTGTGGCTCCCATATGGATAGAAACCAGTTATGGGTCAACATTTTTCATGTGCCAGGCATCCAGGTTTTGGAGGATGGAGAGGAGAAGATTTCATGCATAGCACTAATGAGGCAAAGTGGTCAACCTCTAACAGAAAAGTAAAACAGTCCTCAATTTGGGCACTTTTCATGATAATGGTAACAAAATGGAGGTGCCGCAGAAACGAAACCCAAATATAACATGGTATAAGATGGTAGGAACAAATATTCAATTCCCCATCTCCAAATTAAAAGAGAGACACTGATTAAGATGAAGCATCACGTGGTTCTCTAAGATCACTCCAATGAATGGAGAACTTTGAGGTTGTACACCAGAAACACTAAGGCAAACTATGAAGATTCCAAAACTAAGGACAAATCAACCATCCCACACATTTACTCAAATACGTGTTTAACAGATGTCACTTAACTTGCAAGCATCCACTCATGCACCCTCCAAAGGAAACATAGAACATAAAAATGAACTCATGAAACAGTTCAGTAATCCAGGTGAATTTATACAGTACTCTGCATCTACTCTCTATTCCTTTTATCATTCCGTTCCATGTATCTACTCTCTATTCCTCCCATCCTTCTACTCGCATTTCCAGTGGATGAAAGCAAATTGAAGGTTAAAAGGTAATGAGAGCAGAAGGGAAAAGGATACACATAAAAGCATTTATGCAAGAATGATATTTTATATTTTTAGCTTTGAAAAATACTTATGATTATTCCAAAATAATGTCTCTTATTACTTAACGTTTTGGAAAGAGTAAAGACTTAATAATGTCATACTCACCATTATAGTATCCAAATAATAGTTGACAGTTATCTTTAGGTAACTTAATCGTTAAGATATGTTAATGCAATATATGGAAGAGCTAAGTATAATAGTGACTATTTGGATAGTGTATAAACCCTTCACAAATTGATTTATAATGCAAAACGGTTAATAACTCTGAATGCATTATAAAAAGCCTAAAAAGACATACAAAAGTCTTTTGACCAATTTAAGATAACCCATATATGTTAACTCTACAAAACCCAATTTCATGACCAACTCTACCATAAGTTATAAGGTAAGTGTTGTCTTAATGAGGCATTCTCTCTCTCTATAAATAGGGACCTATTCCCTCTTTTTTTACAAACAGAAGCAATACAAACTTTCTAAGAGTTATCTGAGAACTTTCTCTCTCTAAAAGTAGCAACTTCAGTGCTCTAGATCTTGCAATACTTGTGCATTTGTATTGGCAAGATAGTTTCCTCAATCATTTACTCCCATGTATCCCGAGGACAAAATTGCCTCGTAAAACTTGAGTGCACACTGATTCCTGTTAGTAACGAGCAAATGTTGTCTTGAAAAAGTGATTTATCATGTCTGGGATCAGAGAGATTGAAATTCATTTTACTCTTTTTTCATTTCCTACTCTTGTCCCATTTCACCCCTCATTTTTCAACAATTCAAGACAACATTTTAGGGTGAAATATGGAGTCCTTTAAGGCTGTAAACATTGACTGCTTTGATGGGTCAAGCTTTCGAAGGTGGCAACAAAAGCATGTTTTTGTTGACCACGCTCGAGGTCACATACGTCCTCACTAATCCCTTGCCAAAGGAACCACCACAAGTCGAAGGAGAGACAGTGGAACACGCACAGAAAAGAGAACGAAAATTCAAACTTTGTTGAAAATGGATAAAGGATGACTTTATAGGCAAGGGACACATTCTCAACGCACTCAGACCCAATCTTTGACATGTATGGGTCTTTATCCACAGCAAAAGAAGTATGGAACGAGTCGGAGATCAAACATAAAACTTAAGAATCAGGTAACCAACGATTTTTTATTTCCAATTACCTCAACTTTAAATGCACTGAAAAATAAGCCTATGCTCAGTCAAGTATATAAATTGTAGCTTATTGTAAGTGAACTTAATCGCTGTGGAGTGGAGTTGAATGAATCTTTCTTTCCATGTGGGAGCTATCATTCACAAATTACTCCTATCATGGAGAGAGTACTAAAAGAAAATGAACCATAAGAAGGTTGATTGTTTATCTTGTTCAACTTCAATGCTCAGTATTGGGGAAGAGAATAGGCTTCAGGAAATGAAAGATGAAACCATAGAAAACCAGTTGGCAAGGGACTTTCAATTGTAGAGCACAAGTAAGGATAAGGATCATAACAAGAAGCCTTTCTTTCCCAAGCAGCAAAAAGACATCATAAAGATAAAAAGTCCAAAAAGAAAAGCATTTGTTACTTGTTGGGAAACCTGGGCACTACTTTAAAGAATGCCGACACCGATAAAGGGCCTTGCAAGGTTCTTAAACCAAGTACTTGACTACTGAAGAAGAAAATTTGTGGCTATGATCACTGAGGTCAATCTTATGGGAATGATTCCGGTTGGTGGGTAGACACAGGTGCTACCATCCATGTTTGTAATAACTGCGATTATTTCAAGACCTATGAGCCAGTGGACGATGGGAACTCAGTTCAACTGGGAACTCAAGCCTAGGCAAGGATACTTGGTAAAGGCACAGTAAACCTGAAATTTAGTTCAAGTAAGATTCTCACTCTAGAGAACATGTTTTATTTGCTGGGAATGAGGAGGAACCTTGTTTCAGGCTATTTGCTTAACAAGCATGATTTCCAAATGGTCATCGAATTTGATAAAGATCATTTTGACTAAGAGAGTTGTCTTTGTTGGCAAAGGGTACTCATGTAATGGGATGTTCAAACTTGATTTAAGTAATGAAATAAAGTACTCTTCCACGTTGCTTGCAAGTTTTTGTAATTTATGACATGCTAGATTAGGTCACTTGAATTTCGTTTAAATAAAAAATATGGTTATGTCGGGCTTAATCCCTGAATGTGGTAATATATCTAATGGTAAACGTGAAACCCATGTTCAAGCCAAAATAACAAGAAAGCCTTTTCCTTCAGTGGAAAGGAATACTGAATTATTATGGCTTATACATAGTGATATTTGTGTCCTCACAATGGTGATTGTTTCAGGCTTTCAACTTTAGACACCATGTAAACTCACCTCAACCCCAGCTCAGATGAAGCTCAAATAGAAATACAATCCATCAGACTTATTAGAAATATGCTAATAAAGGAAGCTCATTGCAGTGCTACTGTTGCAAAAACACCTTAAAATCTGAACAAATAATGACAAATGAGATTTATTTGATTGGCAAACGCTAACTATTTTAGTTCCTAGGAAGCCTCATCTTATTAGTTCAGTTGGTTGTTTGAGAAATTAACACATAAGGAATTGACACTTATTTTTTCTTGCGTAGGTTAAATAGTCAGAAAAGTGCCTAAGTTGCACGGAATCAGAAACATACCTAAGTTGGCCAGCGGAAGAATGTAGAAAAAGTTGTGGGAAAGCTTTAAAAGGACGATAATGGTATCCAGCTTGATTTCCCACAACGGTTCACCCTATACAAAGAGATAAGAAAAGCTTATATAAGTAAGCATTAGGAGGTCCAAAATACCATTCCAGTCTTCAATTTGTCATCTTTGAGACAAATACAAGAAGCCCAATTTTTTAAATCTCATTAAAACACGTATCAAAATTTTCACCTTAAACAGGTTTGTCATAGCTATATATGCATGAAATATATATACTACTTCCCTGAAATACATCGAGCTGTATGCATGAAAATTTATTTAATTTCATCATGTACAATTAATATATCACATTTATAAAAGATCATATATGCTCATAAAGATATTAAGACCTGCATAAGTGTGCAAATAATAGAGCATGACTACATGGTATGTAATAGTTGCAGGTAAATCAGGGATACAAGATAAATGAGAGTTTCTGTGAGATAATCGATGTGAACCTTTTAATCGTTTGTTTTTCAATAAGTAGGATAAATGATTCAATGGACACCAATTCAGCAGTCAGAGGTTCATGAAATCATTCCTCATTTTCTTAAAGATCATCATATGAAGCATGAACTGTGGTCCTTTGACATATGGTGTTGATCTCCATAATTTAGAACCAAAATATTTCTTTAGTCAATAGAATACATGGACTAGAGTCGTGAAATGCATTGCCTGAAAAACCTCAAAAAGGGAGTTAAGAAAGACCTCACGATTGCCGTCCATGTATTCATTTTCTTTCTTTTGAATTCTGATAGTCTGTTGCCGATGGATCAAATGACAGCTACATAATACAGGAAGGAGCATGCACTATACAGATTCCCCATGAAAGGCAAGATTTGGATTTGGGGGTTTTCAGTAGCTTTAATGTCCTGTCCCTTACCAAAGTGCCCTCATTATAATTATTACAGTGTGGAATGACTCTGAAATGACTTGCTCACAATATGAAGATAAAAGGGAAGAATACTCAAAACTGGAGGAAGGAGTTCTTCCATTTCTCAGTTGTACGAAATATGAGAATCATGCCTGGGGAGCACCTTACCAGTACAAAGAATCAGAATCTTGATATACTAACATGAAGGTGTGAACGACATTGCAAGCACAGTAAGGTAGTCTAAATAAGTTACAGCCTTCATCTATAGCCACATCCTCACCCTCAGCATGATGAACATGTTTAAAAAGAAGAAGGGGATAGTCAGGCTGGGGCCCATGAGATTTGCTACCTGGTTCCTGTCTAGATAGCATACATTCAAGAAGATTCCAGCTGAGGTAAATGTTCCTTCTAATGATTAGAGAGGATGCAAGTGGAACAGGGATCAGAAAGGGAAGAAAGCATGAAATATTGTCCTATCTAAGTTTATTCTGGCAGGGGATGATGGGCGCTCTTAAGGTATTTTTTCATCTAATCAAAGTCTTGCATATGGTTGACAGTAACAAACCACTCCATGGGCTCCATAGATGAGTCAATGGAAAGTTGCGTGAGAGAGAGAGAGAGAGAGAGAGAG